TGCTGATCCTAATGTACAAGATAAAGAAACTCAAATAACAGTAAGTGACACAGCTATGACCACAATTCCAGTAACTACAACTAATGACACAATTAATACTGAGACTCCCTCTCCTGCCTGTATGACTTCATATGACAGAGTCTTCAAGCACTCCAGCCTCTACTACACTATATGATAAACCCTCTACTACCACTGATCAAACAATTAGTTCATTGTCATCAGTAAAGGATCGTATTGTACAAGCCGTTAAACATCCTTTTAGTTCTTTTAAGAGTAAATCCAAAAAGAACCTTGATACTGAAAATGACGAACAAATGCAATCCATTTATCAAGAATTGAGGGTCAATAGTAGAGGATCTCAAAGACCAAGCATTAAGAAGAGATTGTTAAGAAGGCAACATAATGTAACTCTCTACAATACAAAACCTAACAAGTAGGTAGTTGTGAATTGTGATAGTTCAATTTAATGTTCTAGTGTATTTGTATTATTTATAGCTACTAAAAATTATTGCTACTCTTTAATGCCACTTCCAAGTATTTGTTTGTATTTGCAATGTACTATTAATTTCACCATTACTTTATTAAGCCAATGATTATGACTATAAGGAACACTCCTTAATGTGTAACAAGAGGAAAGATAAAGAGAGAGACAATGTCTGTGTGTTTGTATGTGTATACAGTCAGTATAATAATAATTTAAAGATCTGTTGGTGTAGAGTGAGCTGGACAAGTAACAATGAACTGACTCTGATTGAAATGACAACCTAACAAATAAAAGAAAAAAACATTTAATAAAGAATCAATAAATGTATGATACTATTTTGCCAATGCGAACTGCCTAACTAAATGCATTAATGAGGCTCATTATTGTGTATATCCAGTATTTATAATCATTGGATCACTGACAGTGATACTAACCTTCTTGTACAGCACAAGGATAATGATAAGGTCTCTTGCAAGAGTGAAGATGACATATAATTGTAGCACCAGATTTATTACACTTACAACAAACCTGAGAGAGAGAGAGAGTGAGAGTAAGATAAACCAACACTGTATACTAATAATGAGAGACTTACTAATGATTGTCCTTCTTCAATAGCTTCAGATAATCCTTTTAGCTCATCACCATCAAAATACACACCTGATGCCCACACTGCACACTTCCAATGGGTCCATACATCTATACACATAGAAACAAATAATTTATAATCAGATAATCATACATGCATGTATATGTGCATTACACTGTACCTTCTGTTCTGTTGTTAACATTGTTTAAAGGTCCATACAGATAACTGAGCTCACTAGCATTATTACCAAGATTACAGAGGGCACAGGACCAGTCTACTATATTAGGAGGCCTGACATCATCAGATACAACACCTCTTCTCTTCTTTGGCCTCCTCTCATCTGAAGACTGTGAGTCTCCATTAAAACTGTCACTGTTCCTCTTAGCCCTCCCTCCTCTCCCACTGGCTCCAGCAGTACCAGTATCTTTATTAACAGGACCACCTCCTGATACTTTACTGGTATTACCAAACTGACGGGACGACCCACGTCCTATAATATGAGAAGGACCACTAGCAGAACCATTGAGTGATGATCTTTTAAGAATACGTCCTCTTGATCTTGTCACTTGGTCTTTAGTAATTGATACTGATACAGGACAGGAGAGGGAAGGAGTGGGTGAGTTTTGATGTGAAGATAACTGAGAGTGAGGAATAGAGGAGGAGCTGGATAGGGAGCCAGAGGGAGAAGCTGGTAATGATAAAAGGACAGGGAAGGATGGTGATCTGGTTTGAGGAGATGAGGAGGAGCCCTGTTGCTGCACTAGTGGAGAAGAAGATGGACACAAAACTGAAGAGGAGGCAGAGTGTCTTTGAATACAAACTGATTTCACTTTAGATGATCTAGTTATTGGCAATGATAGTCGAGAGGGTTTAGCAGGAGGAGTATGAGACAATAAAGTGGAAAGAGACATAGGAGATTGAGTTCCAGTGCTGCCTTTGTCTACAAATGAGGGAATGTTTTTTAATTTTTCAACACAGAGCCTAGGAACTGAGGAGTAAAGTTTAGTGAGTGGCTTCTTCATCAATGGGAGTCTAATGAAGCACTGCTTACCATGGAACAGTCTAGGAGAAGGAGGAGCACTGACACTGGATGAAATACTGGCTGGAATATTGGGGGAAACACTGGTAGAGACACTGCTTTGAATATTGGGGGAAGCACTGGATGAAATACTGGTTGGAATATTGGGGGAAATACTGGTAGAGACACTGCTTTGAATATTGGGGGAAGCACTGGATGAAATATTGGTTGGAATATTGGGGGGAAAACTGGACAAAATACAGGTTGGAATGTTGGATGAAACACTGGTAGAGGCACTGGGTAAAGCAGAATTTATTGATGGACTAACACTGGTTAGAGCACTAGCTGCAGGACTGGTTGAATTAGAGTTAGCAATAAAGATAGGAGGACTGGTTGAAGAGATAGGAGCTGTATTAGAAGCATTGGTCAATGAATCAGAAGTGCTGGTGCTTGCATTGGTGGTCTCTTCCATTGAGCTTGTTAATCTTCTCTTTATCTTTGACCTGGTAACAATACCAGTGGAACTATGCTCTCTCTTTCTCTTCCTCTTCACTTTGTTATGTGAGAGCTGCTTAAGCTGCTCAACAGCATTCATTGACTTATTTGAAAAAGGTGAGGAATTAGAAATGGCAGACGGACTGGAGGGTGGGGTGGGACGGACACTAGCACGTATGAGGCAAATCATGGGAGACTTGGAGAATGCTTTCTTGTTGCTTGAGATTACTGGAGATGAGTTAATAGCAACAGAAGGAGAGAGAGATGAGGCTCCCGAAGGAGAACAATATCTGTCCATAGGTTGAGGAGAGGGTGAAGAATGGGACTGGGGATCTGGCGTACATGTAGCTCCTATTAAAATAAAATAATAATGGAATCACTTTTCTTTATAAAATTAATTTCTAAGAAATCAATTTTTGATCAGACTCAGCTC